ATGTGTCTCAAAAATATAGTCTTTGAATTGATCTTGCTTGTCCTCCTTTGTTCATTTGATTGATGATGTCTGATAGGTCAGGAATGCTTTCTTGTCTTTTTTTTTCCCTTACTTTTTCTTTTCATTTTGCTCATTGGCTCATTGTCAATGACTTGTTTTCAAGTGTGCTAATTCCTTATTCTGCATGACTGAATCTGCTGCTTTTCTGGTTTTGTTTAGTTATCTAATCTCTTTTGCCGTCTTGTATCTCACTGAATTTCTTTACACTGATTAGTTTGAATTATTTGTCAAGTAACCCAGGGATCTCTATTTCTTTGGGGTTAGTTATAGGAAATCCATTAATTTCCTTTGGAGATGGTGTGTTTGCCTCTTTCTTTGATATGTGTAACCTTGAATTAGTATCTATGCATTTAAAGAAGTAAACACTTCTTCAGGTCTTTATAGACTAGTTTTAGCAGGTGAACACTTTTTTCAGTTGGGTCTCTGCCTTGATGTAATTGCTTCTAGGATCACAATTGACTGAATCTATAGCAGGTTACATGACCTCTGATGGAGCTTGTGGTTGGCAGGCCTGTTATTTGAGGCTCAGCCAGTGTGAATCTTGTCTGGCCCCTGGGTATACTAGACTGCCTCCAGGACCTGGGTTAGTGGTGTTGGAGCTGGGACAGGGGTCTACTTCAGGGGTCTATAGTTATGTCCATAGACAGCAAATTTACTGCTGGGTTCACAGAAAGTTATGTCTCCTATCAGGTACCTGGGAAGGCTCTCACCACGTTATTAGGTGGGTTTTGGGGAGGCAAGACCAGAAGAGAGTCAGAGGGATACTTCTGTGCTTATAGTTGAGACTGTAGTCTATAAGTCTACCTCCAGGTACATGGTACATGGTGCTTCTTGTTGGGATCCTGGGATCTGTTTTCTAGAGTTGCTTCAGGATCTGCGATCTGACTGAGACAGCAAGCAAAATCCAGGGGCATGAAATGGGCATATCTCATGGTGGATCCTTAGCCTGCAGCTGAGAGGGGCTGGAGCTTAGTTGCAAGGCTCTTTCAGGATCTAGGCAAATTGGCCTCCATGGATATGGACAAATGTGTCTCCTAGTGGGTCACTATGCAGGCAGGAATGTTTCCATATGGCTGGGAGCAGAGAGAGCTAGGTCACAAGTCATTTTAGGGTCCTTAGCTGGAGCCAAATTTGGCAGGCCTATTACCTAGGGCATGGGAAGAAGGGGAATGACTCACCCTTGGTCCCACAGCAGGTCATGCTGGTGGCAAGATGAAGGCCAAACAGAGCTATATCTAAGACCACAGGAGGTAGGGCTAATTCTGGGTCTGCTACCAGAGTATAAATCTGCCTTCTCAAAACAGGCCTTTTTGGTCTTGTGCTTCACTGGGATTTTGTCACTTCCTGCCTGATTCTCAAAATTCCTTCTAAAAACACATTTTCTGTTGGTGGCTGTCAAAATTATTGTTGCTTTGGGGGGATATGAGTGTAGAACCTCCTATTCTAAAATACTGTTGGCCAATCGAATTGAATTTTGAAGAAGAAAAAGGAGTTTTTGAGCTAAAAGGCAGTAAATGGAGAAGGGTATTCTAGATAACTGGGGGAAAATGTGCACAGATTCAGATATACACTAAGCTGTCACGTCCAACTCTATCACATATTCATTGCAAGAACTTTTGCTTCAAATGTATCCCTGGTGATGTTTAACACAGAGAAATACTTTTGTCTAAAAGACATCTCCCATTTCATAGTCTAAACTTCTGAAGAGAAWTTATCCTCAGTGTTACTTAGATTTTCTATAGAATTTCTTTTCTTGCATAAATTCCTTCTACCAGTATTCATTTGCTCGCCTTTTAATGGTTGGCTAAAAGAAGAGATAGAGATCATCAGGACACTGTGAGACATGTCATTCTGGTGAACTGTGGAGTTATTCCAATTAACTAGCAAGCAGCTAACATGCTCCAAGACAAATCAGAGAAATGGAAGGCAGTAGCATCTATTCTGCCAACAAGGCCATTTTCTAATCCAAGTTACATCTATGGATTTGGGGGTAAGTCAATTCTTCAGACAATTATATCCAGGAAACCCAATCATCTTTATTTAGCACCAGCTGCTGTAGCCCATTATATGTCATGTCATATATAACACTTTAGAAATTGTTGCAATTGCATCCAATTCTCTGTATCTCCTTTCCAGGACAGAAATAATATTTGCTGCAGAGAAAGAAACAGGAAGGCTGTGGAGTGGTGGCTTGGGACATTGTCTTCTGGAGACAAAAATACAATATGTGAGAAGTTTATACGATTTTGAATATAAGCCTATATTTTTCATAAAACTGATTGTATAAGCTAAGGCAATATCATTAGTTTATCATCAACCCATTATGGCTGTGACTTTAGTCACTATGTCTCCAAGTAATCAAGTGATGATTTCAACTACAGTCTTTACACTTTCCAAATGTAGATTTCTAATCCAGATCTCTGTCCAGAGATCTATGTGCATATATATCCAACTGCCAAGTGGACAGATGTCACTTCTTTCTCTGTGTGTAAAGCATTTTCCTAATGAGAAACCTGAGAGAGACCCTAGCTATCTCCCTCCCTCTTTATATTTTGTGGGTCAGGCCTTTTAGATCTGGACTTCTACGTATCCCTGTATCCCCCCTTCCCAGTGTTCTAGTGCAATCTTTCTTCATTTTTTATAAGGCTCCCTGCAGTAATCTCCTAAGTAAATTTTTGGGTTTTAGTTTTGCTCACATACAATTTCCTCTACAATGAAGCCAGATGGGTCTTTAAAAAATGAATAACTGATCAAGGCATTTCACTGCTTGATTCCTTTAAATGACTTTTCCTTGCTCTTTCAAGATAAATGCCAATTCTGTAATGCAGCATGCATTTAACATTTCATGATTTGGCCTTGTCTCTGTCTTCAGTCTCATATATCTCTTCTCACCCTAACCTACTCTCTCCCTCTACAACCTCTGTTATTATTGTATTTTCCAAACTTTACTAGTGATGCATATCACCTGGGATCCTTGCTAAAAATATAATTGCTGGTCTTTGTCCCAGACTTATTGAATCATAATCTTCAGGGAATGATCTGGGATGCTGTCTTTTTTTCTTAAAAAGAAAAGGCCCTGTGGGTGTGACTCATCATCTCAGAAATTTGGGAAAACACAGCTTCATTGTATTTAAAATTTTTATTTAAAAATATATGAAATAATAACTGTTATTAGTCTCATTTATAGGTAGAAAGAAATGAGACTTAGGGGAAAGAGACATGGTTAAATGATTGCCATCAGTATGATTTGAACCTAGACATCCAATCCCAGCATTTACACTGCYGCTATGGTCTGCTTTCTGCTTTGCTCATTTAAGAGTCAACACGTGTTCTGTGTTTACTCTTCAACTATCTGTGCTTCTTATGCTTTAATGGGAGCATAAGAGACACAGATAATAGTTTTACTTGGAAAATTACCATTAGTTATCATTATTAACTCAGACTGCAACTTTCCTGGAGCCTTCTCGTTCTGGCTTGGTTGTCTTCCTATGAACCATCCTGTTAATGTGACACATCATTATCTACATCTTTATCTGATTCCCTAATAGGTATAAAGAGGCTTATTTCAGGACCTTCTACATCCTTATACTAGCAGAGTGGCATATACCACAGTGTGGGATAAATATCCGCTAAATGAATAAAAAATGTAGTGTCATTTGGAAAGTGCCTKGAATTTAGATGCTTTGAATAGATGAAGTCTGGGCTCACTCCAGTAAATTATTTGTTTTGAGGTATTGAATGCTGCATTTTCGAACTAGGTTCATTCCCCTATTGAACTCACCTATTTTCATTTTAGGAGTATTTGAGGAGAGATTGGGAATCCAGCCCATTCCTTTTCAAGTTCAAAGAAATGAAGCATAAGTTACACACTGCAGTGGCCCTAGGCAAGACCAGATAATAGGAAAGGACATGGAAGTCCCAGCAATGAACAATATGATAATAAGGAGGAGTCTGGCCTGGTGATGTAGACTCAATACCAGAGTTCAGAGCATCAGAGGAGTGTTCTGACATGGGATAAAGGTACTCTTGATCCAGACTCTGAGTGCCATGGAAACTGAAGTGAGTGTGAAGCAAAATTAAAATATGAATGGAAGCAATGTTTACCTGTGGTCTTGAGGCAACAGGGAGTGCCCTGCTAGGGTGGCAGTGGTGTTTAAGACTTTTAGAAAAGGAGGCTTGGTTGGGTCCAAATACTATGGACTATAAGATGTCTGTATTACTWGGATTTCAGCAAATGCTAATGATAAGGCTCCCCTTGTGTCAGGGGTGAGGAACTGGGCTCAGCAGGACTGAGACTTCCATTGCTATGTTCCACCACTAGGGCAAGGCGTTGGCCCTGAAGAGAGCAGAGGGTGGCAGACATGAAGCCCATTCACGAGTACTGCCTGAGTCTTGGTTTTTCTCTTCCCAGTTGTTAGTAGGAGGCAAGGAATAAGTATGGATCCATGCACAGGAGCAAGCAATGCTGGTAATCCGTGGGAGTTTTATTTAGGGTAAGAGAAATTTAGGGAGATAAGATTTTTTTTTTCTTAAGTTGGTATACTTGGCTTTGCTGTCATAATTTAGGTATTACAAAACAATGTTGAGGTCACCACGTTGGAGATTTGGCTAATGGAATTCTATAACAAAAGTGAATAAAAACGTTCTTTGAAAATATCTTTTTCCCAAGACAGTCATATGAAGTCATGAAAAATGAGACTCCATAGGCAACAGAGCAGRAGCATGTTTTAAGAAATTTTATCTGAAGCCCAAGTTTTATTTGAAGCAAAAACTCTGTTAAAAAAAAAAACTGTAGAAGAAATATTTCATTTGCTTTAAAAACTATTTGTAGGCATTGTGGAAACACTCTTATGTGGGCCAAAGAAATTGGGGTCTAAACATTCAATAAGACAGAAGAATGATTTATTTGGAGAAGAGGTTATATTGCTACACCATTGAAAAGGCTGACATTGAGTAGAATTACAAGCAACAGTGTACTGTTGTGAGGGAGTTACATGTTCAGTGCTAAATTGATATGTGAACCATACAGATGGTGATCTTTTGAATAACCGTGACATATCTTATAAATGCAGTCACTGAAATCTTATTAAAATTAGAGACACAAGGTTCAGTTCCCATTAGCAACGCCCTGCCTTAAGATGCGAAGCCTTGACATCACCACATCCCAATCAGCATAGGCTCCCTCCAGATGGCGGGTTATCTCAGTTCCTGCTTCATAGCTGCGTCGGCCGTGAAGTAAGCGCCAATTATCAAAAGTAATCACATCACCTAAACGAAAGAATTTTTTTTCCCATTATTAATAATTTGTGTTTAAATGATTTACAAAGCAGGCAAATATAACAGGCAAAACCCCAATGCTGCTCAGTTCATATCAATAAATAGTCCATTTATTTCTTTACCCAAGACTGCACATTTGCTGTCACACTAATCAACCTCTAGATGCAAACTGTTTTAGGCCTTGACACTTAAATCACATAGCCTGGTAGGCTCCTGTGGACATCTTAATAATTCTTACTTGGAAGATTTTCTCTGTGTAAAGCTTTTTAATGTTTTTACTGCTTGTCACTTATCTCTTAATTAGGAAATTATTCACCTGGTTTAACAGTTTCAAATCATTCAGTGATATTATTATTTGGTTCTTTATATTCCCAGTCTTTTATGGACATTATTTTTAAGATTCATAAGAACTCTAAAAAAAAGAATTGCCCTTTCATACATGAGAACATCAAAGCTTCAACAAGTTGAGGGATTTGCCCAAAGCTTCATTGCCTTCACATGGTAAACCTGGATTCCAACTATTTCCCCCCATGGTGTTTCAGTTTACAYGTTGCCACTCTTAAAATCAACCTGCTGTGACTGCGTGGCAATGGGTTTATGGTAATTTCTAGTCTTTTTATTATGCCAAAGTTCAATTCTAAAAATAATTTCCACCATGCATGGTGGTGCACTAAGGTAGTCTCAGCTACTTGGAGGGCTGAGATGAGAGGTTCACTTGAGTTCAGGAGTTTCAGACCCATATTGGGAAATATACCAAGATACTGTCATGAGAAAAAATAAGAAAGACAGATAAAGAAAAAAGAAAAGAAATAAAAACAATTACAGTAAAATGAGTCTTCCATTTGGCCAAATCAAGAGCAGAGAGAAATTATGCCTTTCATTATAGATAACAAAAACCTTAAGTTCAAGAGAGTCATTGCACAATATGTTAATAACAATGTACTATATTGTTGAAAGTTGCCAAGAAAGTAGACTTTATGTTTCTACTGTTAAAAAAAATACCTATGTGAGATAATGCATATATTCATTAGAATGATTTARCCATTCCATAATATATACATGCTTCAAAGCAACATGTATATGACAAGTATATACAATTTTGTTTGTCAATTAAAAACAAATAAATAAAAAAAGACTAAATTGTGGAGGCACTTCACTTAGCAGAGATGGTCCAGAAAAAAAAAATCAGTGTTTTTTGCGCCTTTATTTCAAGTAACTAGAGTACTCCAAGTACTATTTTATTTCATTCAATACTATCTCTGCCTATAAGTTTTAGAAATAAACTTAAGTGTTTTATGATCAGCTTCATGAGGACATATTTGTTTACCAGGATAGGAAAATAAAGTAGAAGGCTCAGCTTGTATTGATAGGCTATTRGGATAGAAAATAGAAAACACCAGACTTAATATCAGACAGAAGGTTTCATTTGGCCCAGAGTTTCTTTAAAGTAGCAGAGATGGGAGCCAGGAGGCTGCTGTTTTAAGCCAAATCAGCTGTTCACCAAGATTCTACTGTAAAACTGTTCTGAATATCATTCTCCATGGGTAAAGTTGGAGAAAATCCAAATTTTTTACTTTTTTGAAAAAATGTCCCCACTGACCTGGATTCATCTTGAAGATAAACTTGTTTTCTTTGCTGTTCATGAGATCAACAAACTCTTTTAGAGCAGCATAAAAAGGTTGAACTCTCTCAACAGGTACATCAAATATCGTGTCTCTAGTTGCATTGTTGAAGTTGATGCGAACCACTTGGCCTTTGTCATCTAACCTGTTGAAGAGAAAAAAATTAACGTAATTCATGACATATCTATTTACATTTGTAAGGGTCAAGATATTCAATTTACCTGTGGAACAATGTATTCCTTCATGTTTTTCATTCATTCATTTAATAAGTGTTTTTAGAAATCTCACTGCAAAAAATGCTAGGAGGGATTATACTAAAATTAAAATGTTACTGATATATTCAAGTCAACATTTTGTTATGCTTAGTGAAATTTATTTGTTGTTCTTTRAAATAGGCTTTACATATTAAAATCTCATGCAACAAGTTTATAGGTCAGTTACCTTTTGTATTTTATCTAATTGGAAGAAAATTTTATTCTTTAAGAGATTGACATATATGGTTCTTATTTAATGCCTAGTTTGGAGATGAGGGAAAGTGGAAAATAGAGAAAAGAAGAGACTAGCCTGAGAACATTCTTCCTATCTACCTCTCTATACCACATGTCTTAGTCTGGAGACCTTTAGAAGATTGGTACTGTATCTCACTCAATGTTGTATTCCCAGCTCTCAACATAAAGCCTGGACATAAGAGTTGGTAAATAAACATTTGTTGYGTCTGTATATTTTTCATGCTTTAGGGGAGTACTGAAGTCTCTTTAGTACCTTGGAAGATCCTAATGCTGTGATTTCTCTACCCTTTCTTATAATATGGACTGTGATCATGACAATGCAAGATAATACAACTTTCAATGTAAGAAAAGATAACAAACTTTCTGGAGTTTGGACTATGCTGGTTAAAATTAGCAAGACATGGACATCACTTACATACAGAGGCAAAAAGAGGAGATTTTTTTTTCTCTGTGTGTTTGTGTGTGTGTGTGTGTGTGTGTGTAGTTTTTGTTTTTAGCTTATTGGGAAGGTGGACTTTCAGCCAGACCTTCAGTACCAAGCAACTCCCAACTTTTATTTTTCCTTTAGGTAGAAACAGTAGGTATGAATGAAAATAGGAAAGAAAGTGGTCCAGGATGGTGACATATTGCTTAGTATTACTTCCTAAAGAAGTGTCCCCAAGGGACAAACCCAGGGGGTAGTAATGGTTGCCAACAGCTAAGTGGAGTCCACACCTGATGGATCAGACCAAACAAATTGTTCAATGTGCTTGGACATAGAGAACTTGTGTTGGGTCTGGGCTGCACTTAGCTGACTGGTCACACAGAGAGTGAACCATGATCAATGTCAGGATACAGAAGGAAGGATGCAATTGACTGCTAGAGAAGACATTAGTCTCAGGATTGAAGAGTTAGAAGAAGTGTGTGTGTGTGGGGGGGCTGAAACCTTAAAGATCAACCTAAAATGCAAAATTGGATCTTAGTAAGCAGGAAATTCCTTTATAGAACAACAGAATAAAAGGAAGCATCTAATGCAAACTTTCATGCAGAGGAAGGGTAAAATGTCATAAAAGATGAGAATAACTAGCCATATATTTAGCTGTGAACAAAGGACAAATATTTAAAAATAAACCAGCAACAAGATGACAGTGAACCAGTCTAGGCAAATCATCATCAGTGATGCCAAAAAGAACCCAAAGAAGGACCATAGATATCTCCCACAGTCCCAGTTGCTGCTATGAATATTTCCCATTAGTCTTGCAGGGAGATGGGATGTTTTATGGAACTTCTTGCTYTTACTGGGGGAGTGTCTCTATGGTATTATCTATTGCATCACATTTTATGAGAGAATCTGCAGGAAAAAATTATTTTAGACTTTAGAAGCAATTTGACTCTTATAACTGATTATATTCTTTCTTTGCTTTGGTTTCTAGGTTGGATCTGAAATAGAAAACTATTATCAGTAAATTGTTGGCATTTATAAAATGAAAATTATAGCAAGCTCAAATATACTTTGCATTTTCACTGATAGGCATTTTGGTAAGTGCTTCCATTTATTAACTCTAGACTTCCTACTTCATCATAAATTATTGATAAGTGGCAGGTGTTCTTTTTTTAAGAAAAGAAACTGAATCAGCAAGGGGAAGTCAGTGAATAAGTGGTTGCATAGATGGCAAATAAAAGACTTGTATTCACATGAGTAAACTTGCAATCAATAGGATTGATTAATTCCACTATTATTTTTTGCACCAGYTTCTTCATTAATTTATTTTTCATTGTATTGGATTGTTACTGATTCTTTTAGCAGCCTTAGAGACTCTTTTGTACTAGGAAGGATATGAAAATTTCAAAAGAATTTAAAAGTTTAACTACAAGAAAATTCAATTAACCCAAACACTCAGGATATGGAAGCCCTCATTAACTAAAATCCTTGTTTTCTCTCTTATTGTTAAAAATGTATTTTTAAATGGATTAATGTTAAATACTTTATTCTCTCCATGGATATCCCTGAAACCTTGCAAATGGCCAAATTTTGGATTGTATTACAAAATATATCAAAGCCAAGTCATGATTTGGTTGATGGACATTCAGTTAATCTCATTCAATAACTAAGTTTCTTGCTTCACTTCTCTTACAGAATCTGCAATTATTTTAGGTCTTCACAAAAATTTTTATTTGTCATGGATTTTTAAAATTTAAATTTATTTCAACTCACGCATAAAACATAAAAATTAAAAATTACACATTAATAGGGTAACATAATGTTTTGATACATTTATATACATGTGTAATGTGTATATCAGATTAAATTTATTAATCTCCTGATGATAAAATGATAAAAGCTCTCATTTTAAAGGAGCCGTTTAGATAATTAAAAACTGTCATAATATAACGAAGAAGCTTGAATTATTTCTTCTCTTTCTCCCCTCAATGGCTGAGTTCTCAGAGAACACCTCAGCTTCACTGTGATCTAGAATATATTCCTGAGGATTGTCTTTCCTTCATACCTCTTATCCAAACTATCAGGAAAATAATCTTTTTCCCTGAAAAATATATCAAAAAATATATCCTTTTCAACATGGCCATAACTGTCACTTGGACCACTTATGTTCAGGGTGCCATCATCTCGACAGGGAGTCCTAGCAGTAGTTTCCTGCCTCGTCTTCCTTCTCGTGTTCTTGCTCTTCTTACTATGTTCAACACCACAGCCAGAGGATCTACATAACACATAACTAAATTCAAATGTCTTTCCTTTGGTCAAAACCTTATGGCAGCTCCCTACTTCACTCAGAATGAGAACCTAGGTGTTCATAGTTATTAACAACACTATGGATGAGCTGACCCCATCTGACCTCCTCTTCTAACACACTTCCCTTCTCTCAGCTCTGGCTGTTTCTTGAACTCTCTAGACATGTTCTTGAAGATTTCTTAGGACTCTTGCTCTAGCACTTTCTAGAAAACTCCTTCACTTCTTTAAGTCTTTGYTCAAATCTTTCCCTTACTACATTATTGAATGATGAAAATTTTATCCTTGCTTAGTCTTTGATCCTACAGATTCCCTTAATCTTGATCTACTTTTCCTTTTTTCTGCTTCTTAAGCCTGTAATAGTTTTTAATATTCATTATGATTTGCTTATTTATTTCAAAATTTCAAATTCTCCCCTTCCCCACTAGAACYCAAGCTGTGTGAGAGCAGGCATCTTTATTTTGTCCAGTGGCATATCCCAAGTACTAAGAAAAATGTCTGGCCTCAGTTACTATTTGTTGATGAATAAATGAAGGCTGTACATAAAAATACGATAATGAAACTGTGTGCTACAGATTTGATCATCTACTAAATGAATTTATTTCCCTATGTGGCTATTACTTTAAAAAGAATACAAATTTAATTCTAAAATCAGAAATACCCCCAAATTAACTGAAGTCTCTTWGAATACATAATGTCCTAGAGACAAATCTAAGATAATTCTCCAATAAAATGATAAATTATAGCCTTAGTGGGTACTTAGAAAAATCATGATAAAATCATTTAAGAGAACAAACATAAATATTCTCTGTAAGGAATATATGATCTTTCTCGACTTAGCATCTTTTGAGGGAGATTCTGTTTCATTCTCAGTCCATGCAGTTCAAACAAGGCTGACCCTCTCTATAGATGAGCATGTGGTCCTGGCACGGCCACAAGGAATTCTCCAACGTTGGCCACGGCATTTGCTTCAAGGACAGACATAGACATAAGTTGGACAAGGAATCATCTACCTTTGTCACGGTTGTACAGAAAAAAAGTACACTTCTTGTGCTGTGATTGTCATCTCCAAGGGTAATGAACACTTGGAGCTTCTGAGGATCATCTTTAAAAAGGAGTCAATATGGGGTGGGGGAGGGTAGAGAAAAATTCCAGATAACAATGTGTAACTCCTGGATCTACCTATTTTGAGTTATGTCCTTTCACTTTTGGCTAGTACAATCACACTGACTAAGACTATGTAGAACTAACACTTTTAAAATGAAGTGCACATTAAATCTTACTTTTCCTCTAATATTAATAGATTATTTAAGGTAATTTGATTAAAAAATTCATTCAACTATGGAAATATTCTTTTTTTCCCTTTTGGCTTAAAAGATAAACAACAAAAAAAAAGCTTTGCAGTTAAAGCATTCTACTGTTTAAGCATTGGATTAATGGAGAGTTTGCTGTCAATTGTTTTATTGCAATGAGAAATTCATAAATAGTACTCACTCTATAATTTTGTGTTTAGATTGTACAGAGAAATCACAGTAATCCACTCCAATGTCTGTAAAGTCCACAAAGGTGGAAGACAAAATCTGGAATGCCCGAGGATTTTTTTCCTTGAGCTTTTGGCACACATTAAACCCATCTACAATTTCTGAATCACCCCCTGTGACTGTTTGTTTTATGCAGTGCAGAAGCTGAACCTGAAAGAAGAAATGGAGAAATAGAGTTTAAAATAATAGCATTTTACTATTTTTGATTTAAATATTCAAAAAATATGCACAAATCAAAATCAATGAAATTTGTTTTTATATCTGTTCTCTTACATCAGCAGAGAAAGGGGCTGGGGACAAAAAAGATGGTTATGATCAATACTGTATAGTTAAAATCTGTTATAATTGAAGACATGGACATAGGCATGATAATGTTCACTAGTAAGCAAAAGGCACAGGTCATAAGAGCTGTAGAGAGTGAACTCTGGATGTTGGAGCAGGCAGGAAAGGCCAGCAGAAGAGGGGATATTTAAGCTGGGCAAAGGGCAATGGATAAGATTTGGTATGTGCAAACTAGACTGAGAGTGCAAATAGAAACAGAGAGGATGTGCATGCAAAAGTACACAGTTCACTCAGTAACAGACAGTTTTGCAGTGGCACAAGGTATAAATGGAAAGAGAAGATCAGGTTAAAACATGATTTGGGGTTTCATGGAGAGTCTTAAATGTTAGATAAAAAATTTCTATTCTTTCTGTTGGGAATTATTGAATATGGAAGCAATATAGAACTGACCTGAAAAAATTAGCCCAGTGGTGTTACAGTAAATGAATTATTTTTGAGGAGGAAACAGGCCAGATAGTAGCTACTTGAGAGTCTAAGGCCATAATTCAGATGTAAGGATAAAAAAGGAAGGAAGTGGGGTGGGAGTATGAGGGATGGATAAGCTCTGACACACTGAGAATGAGAAAGCCATGCTATTAAGTACTAATAAATTTTATTAAGATTTTTGGGAAAATGTTCAATATTATTTCATTTTGAAAAGTAAATCATAGTAAAAATTTAAAGATACTTTTGAGTGGAGCTTTTCATTGGTTTTGTGACTCCTTTTGGTAAGTCAGCATAGACGGGTGATTTTGAGTATTTAAATTTAGACCCTGGTTTTCTATTGGAAGAAACTAATAGCATTGAATTGCAAATCTTCATTCTCACTGAGTGAAATAAATTAAAAACATTGTCTGATAGAGTGCTTATAGAATGGAAAAGACAAATATGATCAAATACCCAGCCTTGGAGGGATACCAGTATTAGTTAAAAAATAATAATAATTTAGTTTGGTTTGTTCCACAGCTGGCCTGGAATAATGATGTCCATCAGAACTTTTGCAACAATGGAATATTCTTATTCACTGTCTAATACAGCAATCTCTAACCTGGCTATTGTGTGCTTGAAATGTAGTGTGACTGAGGAGTTGAATTTTGAATTTTATTTAGTCTTAATTTTAATTAAAGTGTGAATAGTCACTTGTGACTAGTGACTACTATTGGATAATGCTGATCTAGAACATAAATACTGCTTCTCTTCCAAACCTAATGTACAAGTTTCCCCAGTTTTTATAATTTTATATATAATTTATTCTAAAATTGAAATTGTATCATATATATTACTACACATAAGAATCCTTAGAATTTGATAGTTTTATCTTCATTTTGCAGATGGAGAGACTGAGATATAGAGGTGTCAAAACTGGCTAGCTAATAAGAATTTGGCTAAAATGTGGAAAAGCTGGTATTCAAACTTTGGCCTATTTGCCTAAAAACCTCTACATAGCAAGTCTTTTGTTTACAAAGAGAAAAATCCCTTTATAATACTCTTAGCTATTCAGTATTGTGTGGTGTGTAGATATATCTGTACTTTGCCAATTTAAAATATCCATCCTTATTTATTGATGTTGGAAGATAACTGGTCTAAATTAATAATGGTTCAATCTTTAAATTGATGGCATTTTTTTTCTTTTTTGGTACTTGGGGGCTGAACCCCAGAGAACTATACTACTGAGCCACATCCTCAGCCCTTTTATTTTTTAAAATATATCTTATTTAGAGACTAGGTCTTGCTGAGTTACTTAGGGCCTTGCTAAATTCCTGAGGCTGGCTTTGAAGTAGTGATCCTCCTGCCTCAGCCTCCTGAGCCACTGGGACTACAGGAGTGTGCCACCACAGCCAACTTTATGCCATTTTTTTTTTTATGCTTGAAAAATACATGCATAAGCTGATCAAGTTGCTTAAGAAAATCATCTCACAAGGGCCATGAGGGACAATGCAGTATGATGAAAAAGAAAAGGAAATGGAAAAGTCCATCAAACTCTCAATGGCAAAATGATAGCATAATTTTATTTTGGAGAGAATTRGAGGGTTCTTGAGATTCTTTTCAATTTCATCATAAATGAACTCACAGAATATTTCCAATATCAGTTTTTTAAAAGGTTAGCTGATGTTTTTGCACAAGGCAAGGCCAACTAACATCTTCTTTCATGTAGTTAAATTTTTAATACAATCTTATGACAAGAAAATGATGATGGAACCTGATACCCTCACCATTTCAAATTTGTAGAAAACCAAATTTTATTTCATGTGAGTCATTCAGAATTAAAAAATATTTTCTTTTAAAGTGTTTCTTTATGGCATCATGTGACTTTTGGCCCAGAGAAAAATAGTGAGCAAAGTAATATCTGTGTTTCATTAAAGATGTGTCTTCTTATCTTGACCCCCATTGGATCCAAATCCATCAAACTGCATGATCAAGAGGAGACTAATTATCCAAGTCATTTCATCTGTAATTAAAATGACATTTTAATAAACTTTTATTTGATAAACATTTTACTATAAATCATTTAATTATCTTTTCTAATTTCTTTTCTAATTGTTATGGGAAAGCTCAAATACAAAATTAAAAAAATAACCATTAAAAATGGAAGTTTGAATAATAGTATAAGCAGGTATCTATATATTTTTTCTTTTATCAGAATCACAAGTTTGAGCAGACCCTGGGCAACTTAGGCTCTATTTAAAAAATAAAATAAAATAAAAGTTGGGAAAACAGCACTGTGATAGAGCATCCTTGGGTTTAATTCCCAGTATTGAAAGAAATTATAGTAAAAATCTATCAAGTCATTTATGTAATTTTAGACCTTTATTGCACTTTGCTTATTTATAGAGTATCTGTTATGTCTATATTATGTGCAAGATGATGTATGAAGTTTTGAGATAGAGAAAGGTATGATTCAGTCCTTGTCTTTGAAGAGTTTGTAAAGTGTRACAATATATACAAATAATCTATCACATTACATTATATGACATTATACAATTATGATAATTAGAAATTCCAACTCGGGAGCTTTATGAGGTGATGATAAACTAGGTGGAAATCCAGGTTCAAGTTCAAATTCCCCATGAATCACCCTATAAAAGTTTTTACCCTTGTACTTCATTTCCCCATTTTACATAAAAGACAAAAGCATGTTAAGGGTGATCATATAAAGAAAGACAAGTCAAAATGCTTCGAAAAGCATAACTTTCTATGAAAATGTCAAAAATTCCATGGTACTTCAGGAAAATTTATGACATCATTTAATCACTTTTTCTTAGGCTTTCAATTTTAACCCAGAAACAAAACGTGAAGTCATAAAATACAGAAGATAATTTAAAAATTTGAAATAGAATCTTTAGTTTTCTCGTCTCATTCTTCAAGTTTTATTCTATCCAGCCTCTCTAACTGATCTCTGAGAGGTGAGTTGAGCTGACTAGTTTGGCTTTTAATAACAGGGTTTCAGAAAAATATCTCAGAACCATATTTTGAATAAATCACATGGTTGTGTCTCCTCCCTCAACTCCCACTCAAAAAGGTGACTATAGGAGTCATTTTTCTGTCATCATTTAGTTCAATGAAATCATGTGGATTTCTTTTTTCCAATCAACAAAATAATTTAAAACATGTGGTCAAATTCTATACACGCTTAGCTAATACTGGCAAGAACAATGGGTAGCAACCAGGGCACAGAGAAAATATGTTCAGTCAAGATGATGAAAAAGAGGGATTAATCTTGGTTTTGGCCCATTTCTCCTTTATTAACTTGAGAATTGTCCAGATTTTCATTTATCTTTGAAGATACAGATTTCTGGGTGGTTATTTCATTTAGTCCAGTTCAGCTTTAAAAATAGGCAAAGAACATATTTTTTTCTTTCAAAAAATCATATTGTCCTGACTATTTGTGTTTTAATTTAGTAAATGGTGATTTTGTAAAAATGTATTTGGTTTACTAAAATGATAATTTTGTGAAGATGTAGAGGAAGAGTGTCTACTCAGAAATTCCTCTGGGGCCTTTGTGGCTCTACATGGAGCACCTCCTTGGTTGAGAGGGAATTTTATTAGCGAGATAGGAGATGGTTTCCAAAAATAGCATGAGTACTCTGTTCCTTATCTTTGAATCCCGTTCTTACGCATGTTCACAGCTCCTTCCTTGAGTTGACTACTTCCTCATTTCTTGAATCTGGGCAAGACTTGTGGTTTGCTTAGACCAATAACACACAGCAGAAGAAACACTGCACAAATACTAGCCCAGGCCCCAGGAAGCCTTGTATACGTTGGCTCTTTCTCTGAACATTGTGTCAGTTGCTGTTAGAGTCTGTAAACAAGTCAGGATGGCGCCTGGCATTTTGCCAGAGGGTGTGGTTTGTGAAGTAACGCCAGCGAGCCATGAAGTGTAGAGATTTCTGATTGGTTGACTGCTGTATCTAGTTTATGTTAATTAGATAAGCTGCTTGGAATGTATATATACCCCTCCGGTCCTACAATAAACGGCTCCCACTCCTGCTGTATCAATCTACACAAGTTGTTCGTCACCCCTGGTTATTTTGCTGCAGCCGGAGGACTGCGGCAAGTTGCCATGGGCAGAAGCCTGGGCTAGCTTGTGGAGGATAGTAGACCAAGTGGAGCAGACAAGCCATCCTAGATGAAGTCACCAGCCCTTAGCCAACTCATCAGCTGAGTTAATCTGCAAATAAGAACTTCTCAGCAGAACACAGCCTGAATAGCAAGCATGGGCTAAGTACGTGGGTGCTCTTTTTAGCCGTTAAGTTAGGAAGTGGGTTTTCATGTAGCAATAACTGATAAAAATGACAGCCATGTCACACTGTGGGAGAACACCATCTGTGTTCCCTGATTTCTTTTTCTTTTTTTAACTCTCTTACCGGGGATATATATACAAAAAGACACCAGGTTATACTGCTGTCTGTCATGGCAAAGCAAAAAGTACCAATAATTATTTCCAGGAAGAACAAATAAATATTTTTTTAAACGATTCATGAAAATGTCTTATCCCTCAGCAATTCTGATATTCAGAATTCAGGCACATAAATGTTGTGTTTGGATTGTGTTTGAAGAAAAAAAATTACATATGACAAATTAGCTGGTGAAATATGTAATCTTATACACTCAAAATATAGAAGGATTTGGTCCTTGGCCTGCTTTGTGGAAAATATGTTGAAGCTCACCTTACCCCAGGTGGATGGTGGAGGGTTGGATAATCTGTGTGAAAGCTTAGCTTCCCAGTTGTGTAAGCCACATTGTTTGYATCAATTTTGTCTTGCACTTGCCAAGTATGTCTGTAAAATACAAGAAACACATGTTTAAGCAGATTGTCATGAAGCCAGAAGCCAGAGCAAATGTGTTAGAATGAATTAGATATGGAGGGGGATGATAACTTTTTCATTTTATGAAATAATTAACGTAATGACTATGAACCAAAAAGGTAGTGTAACATTCCTATGGCTGAAGTAATATAATTAGCATCTCCTCATTTTTCCCCTCAACAAAACCACATCTTCACACTAGTTTATCCTACAGAATTCATAAAGAAGTAAATGTGGGATTATAGGTCATCTTTTTTTTAATAGCTTGATGCATATAACAAAATGAAGCTTTTTTGGTGGGGGGTTACTGAGGATTGAACTCAGGGGCACTTGCCCACTAAGCCACATCCCTAGCCCTATTTTTTATTTTATTTAGAGACAGGGTCTCACTGAATTGCTTACCACCTCACCGTTGCTGAGGCTGGCTTTGAACTCAAGATCCTCCTGTATCAACCTCTCAAACTGCTGGGATTACAGGCATGTGCCACTGCACCCAGTATAAAATGAAACTTTTTAAAGTGAGCAATTCAGTTGAATTTAGTACATTCACAAGTGGCAACCATCACTACTATAATTACTATGTATCTGGTTGTTTTGTTTGGCTTTTGGTGGRACGTGCTTGGGATTGAACCCAGGGCCTCATGCATGCTACATGAGTGCTATATCACTGAGCTGCATCCACTGTCCCCATATCTTAAGTTTTAAAGCATTTCAATCGTTCTTAAATAAAACCACTTTTTCAGTCAGAAGTTTCTTGCTCTTCCCGAGGTCCTTGGCAGCCATTCATCTGCTTTTTCTCTTTATACTTAGTTTTAATATTTAATATATATGGAATTATATAGTATGTGATATGTTTGACTTATTTCACTTAGCATATTTTCCAGATTTCTCAAATTGTACAATGTATTAGCATATAATTTCTGTTTATGACTTAATACTTTATTGTACAGATAACCACAATTTGTTTATCTATTCACTTACTGATGGATATTTGGGCTGCTTCTACTTTCTAGCTGTTGTAAATAGTGCTAATGGAGCACAGAACATGTATATGCAAATACTTATTTGAGTTTTCAATTTTTTGGATATGTATATAAGAACAGAATTCTGAGGTCATATCATAATTCAGTGCTTAACAGTTTGAGGAACTGCCAAATTGTTCTTCATAGCATTCGTATCATTTTTATATTCCAAATAGCAATGTGTGAGAGTCTCATTTTATCTACATCTTCACCTATACTTTTAATTTTCTTTTTTTTTTTTTAAAGAGAGAGTGAGAGAGGAGAGAGAGAGAAAGAGAGAGAGAGAATTTTTAATATTTATTTTTTTTAGTTCTCGGCGGACACAACATCTTTGTTGGTATGTGGTGCTGAGGATCGAACCCGGGCCGCACGCATGCCAGGCGAGCGCGCTACCGCTGAGCCACATCTCCAGCCCTTAATTTTCTTTATTAAAAAAAAAATTGTTTTCAGGCATGGTGGCACCCACCTGAAATCCCAGTAACTTGAGAGGCTGAGGCAGGAGGATGGTGAGTTTGACGTCAGCCTCAGCCACTTAGTGAGATCCTTAGTCACTTAGTGAAACACCGTCTCAAAATTAAAAATGAATGAATGAATGAATGAATGAATGAATGAATAAACAAATAGGACTGGGATGTAGCTCAGTAGTAAAGCACTCCTAGTTTCAATCCTCAGTATCAGGGGATAAAAACTTATTATAATCTTTCTAATGGGTATGAAATTGCATCTCATTGTGGTTTTCATTTGCTTTTTCCTGATGAGTAAACATGGTGAATATCTTTTCATGTACTTCTAGGCCTTTTGTAGAGCTGTTTATTCAAGTCTTTGCATTTATTTTGGTACTGGGGATTGAGTCTTGGGGYACTTTGACACTGAGCTACATCCCCAGGCCTTTTCATTTCCTRTTTTAAAACAAGGTGTCACCAAGTTGCCCAGGCTGGCCTCAAACTTGTGATCCTCCTGTCTCAGCTTCCTGAACATCTGAGATTACAGGTATGTGCAAACATGCCTAGCCCTTTGCTCATTTTTAAATTGAACTTTTTATTTAGTTGTAAGAGTTCTTTATATAGGCTGGATATTGAATCCTATCATACATGTGATTTGTGAATATTTTCACCTCTTCTGTGGGTGATTTTTAATTTTTTTTTTACTAATGTCCTTTGATGCCCCAAAGCTTTAAAATGTGATGAAATCCAATTTTTCTATTTTTATTGTTGCTTATGTTTTTGATGTTGTATCTGAATTCATTGCCTATTTGATGTCATGGAGATTTTCCTCTAAGATTTTTATGATTTTAAGTCTTATATTTCTGTTATGGATTCATTTTGAGTTAATTTTTGTAGATGATATGAAGCAGAGTCCAGCTTTGTTCTCTTGCATGTGGATATTCAGCTGTCCCAGCACCAAGCTCCTATAGACGCCCTGTCCCAGTTATAATCCCTTCTCTCTTCTCCAAGGTAACCACAGCTGTGACTTCTATTGTTGCAATTTCTTTGCACTTTTTTATCTCCAATATGTGCATCTCTCAACACAGCTTAAGCTTGCTCAGAAAACAACTGTTATACATTTTAAATCTCTTAATCTACAACTTTTCCTTCCAAGCTGTTCTTCCAAGTTATTGTTTGAAGATCAAAGGGAATTTGACCTATCGAGTGCCCCTGTCTGGACTTTGCTGGCTGCACACCCACAGTGATATTTGACAGTTTCTCCTGTCTTCTGTGTTCCTGAAGAATTGGCAGTTGGAAGCAGAGGCTTTGACAGACTCTATTCTCTCTCTTTGGTAAAACTGTAGGTGGCATGTGTATGTGTGTGTGTGTGTGTGTGTGTGTGTGTGTGTTTTCTAAAAGTTGTAATGTCTGCATTCCTTTTTGTGATGTTTGTACACGTTCATGCTCAAATTGTGAAGTACAAACTGATAATTTATTTTTATTTATCTGGTGGATTACTTTTAAAAATAACCTGCTTTTCTCTAACCTGCTATTTGGTGACACTATATAATGTCTTATATAAATATGATTAGATAAAAACTCAATGCCATCTCTTTATTTAATATTTGCAATGTAATCAGTTTGCTTCCTACCATGCCAAATTTAACAATAAGTTCTTTAAAATATAACATTATTGATAAATATGTATTAAAAYTAAATTGAGGTAATGTTTCATAAAATTGTGAATGTACTAAATGACACAGAACAGTCACGAATTTTTAAGAAAAAATCCCTAGTCTTAAAAGTATAAAAACTAGGAAATTATAAAAATAACCAAGGGTTACTTGCAATTTTGTGGTAAGAGAAGTAAATCATTGTTCAGACTTTGCAAGGTGTTTCTCTTTGAAGATTGAAACAATGGGTACTTGGGAAGAAGCTATGTTTCAAAATATAGCTTTAAAAGAGTTGCTACTTAGATATGCCATTTTATTTCTGTATAATGTCTACTTATTAGCTTATGTTTGTAGTTATCAAATCATTTTTGAATAAATATATTTAACAGATATGCTATTCCTGACATGGATTCTGCATTAGCGATAGCACAAGGCAGCTGGGTGCAATCCTGCACACCTGTAATCCCAGTGACTTGGGAAATTGAGGCAAGAGGATCTCAAGTTCAAGGTAAGCCTGGGTAACTTGGAAAGACCGTGTCTCAGAATAAAAAATAAAGAAGGATGGGGATGTAACCCAGTATGAGAACACTCCTGGGTTTAATCCCCAGTACTACAAAAGAAAAAATATATAGAGAGAGACAACTTAAGGAAGAAAAAAGACAAATAAATAATTACAAAATTTTAGAGATAAGCACTATAATGAAAGTAAGCCAAGGTAAAGAGAAGATGTGGGTGTGGGGGGGTGCAGAGATGTTGCTTTGGTAACTACATGGTAAATAGTTGACATTTTTAAAAAATGCAGAAACCCAAATATATTAAGAGAMGGAGAAATGTGAAATCCTGGGAGCTGTATGTTAGGCAGAGGAACCCTAAGTGAAAAGGAGCTGAGTTTGGAATGTGCCTGGGAGAGTGTGGCTGCAGCAGAGCTGCCAGGGAATCCGGAGGGGGAAATTCATCAGAAGCACGGGGGAAGCCAGATCCTGAAGGGCTGGTGGACTAAGCTAAGGATTTGTGATGGAAGACTCCGAGTTTCTCCACTGTGAAAATTATACTGAGTAGCTGTTTTACAGAGCTGCTTTGTTGTTGAGGGGTAAGTAGATGGTACTGGGAAAAAGATGCCAAAAAAGAGAGATGATGGTGACCAAGACTAGAGCAGAAGCCATCATAGGAAAGAATGGCCAGGTTTGAATTTTGAAGTTAGAATTAATCAGGTTCTTTTACAAATTGGAGGTAGGATGAGAGGGAAATGGAGTCCAGAATGATGCCCAGGTTTTCAGCTTGAGGAACCAGATAGAGAGTGGTCCCATTTACTGAGATTCACTCTGTAAAAACACACCATCAGGTTGGAGGAATCCATTTCTATTCTTATTCTTTTTGCAGAGTTACAAGAGACAGAAATCTAGAACATCCTATCATAGGCAGTTTGATTCACATAATTTAAATGACTTTTTTTGGTGCTTTAAAAAATTCTTTATTCACCAGAGATATGAAAATTTGTGTTTTATATGTATAATAAGAATTGTAATACATTCTGCTGTCATATATATATGACATTGCCTATTTGATGTCATGGAGAATTTCCTCTAAGACTCTTCTATGAAAAAAAGAATACATAGGTCCATGTATGTCATTGAAAAAAAATTCTTTATTTAGGCCATGCACAGTGGTGCATGCCTGTAAATCCCAGCAGCTCCGGAAGCTGAGATAGGAGGATCTCGAGTTCTAAGCCAGCCTCAGTAAAAAGCAAAGTGCTGAACAACTCAGTGAGACCTCATCTCTAAATAAATACAAAATAGGGCTGGTTGAGAACCCTTGAGTTCAATCCCCAGAACTAAAAAACAAACAAACAAACA